TACATAATAATAGTAATTGTTATTATAATTTTATTTATAATTATTATGCTAGTTTAATTTATTATAATTATGCCTTCCTCTTCGCTGTCGGCGATATCAATTACTTCTATATTATCCTCCTCCTCATCAGAGTCGGTGATATCAATGTCGTCATCCTCTTCATCAGATTCGGTGATATCGATGACTTCTATATTTTCTGAAATCAAATTTAAAAATTAATTTTAACGCTTTTCTGCACAGAGAAAATCGAAAATTTGATGCCAAATTGTAAAAAATGTTGTCTGCTCTCTCTTACCATTGATCGACTGTACTTCTATCTCGTCATCCTCTTCATTAGATTCGGTAATATCGATGACTTCTATATTTTCTGAAATCAAATTAAAAAATTAATTTTAACGCTTTTCTGCACAGAAAAAATCGAAAATTTGATGAAATTGTAAAAAATGTTGTCTGCTCTCTCTTACCATTGATCGACTGTACTTCTATCTCGTCATCCTCTTCATTAGATTCGGTAATATCGATGACTTCTATATTTTCTGAAATCAAATTAAAAAATTAATTTTAACGCTTTTCTGCACAGAAAAAATCGAAAATTTGATGAAATTGTAAAAAATGTTGTCTGCTCTCTCTTACCATTGATCGACTGTACTTCTATCTCGTCATCCTCTTCATTAGATTCGGTAATATCGATGACTTCTATATTTTCTGAAATCAAATTAAAAAATTAATTTTAACGCTTTTCTGCACAGAAAAAATCGAAAATTTGATGAAATTGTAAAAAATGTTGTCTGCTCTCTCTTACCATTGATCGACTGTACTTCTATCTCGTCATCCTCTTCATTAGATTCGGTAATATCGATGACTTCTATATTTTCTGAAATCAAATTAAAAAATTAATTTTAACGCTTTTCTGCACAGAAAAAATCGAAAATTTGATGAAATTGTAAAAAATGTTGTCTGCTCTCTCTTACCATTGATCGACTGTACTTCTATCTCGTCATCCTCTTCATTAGATTCGGTAATATCGATGACTTCTATATTTTCTGAAATCAAATTAAAAAATTAATTTTAACGCTTTTCTGCACAGAAAAAATCGAAAATTTGATGAAATTGTAAAAAATGTTGTCTGCTCTCTTTTACCATTGGTCAACTGTACTTCTATCTCGTCATCCTCATCGCTGTCGGTTGATTCATATACACCTTCTTAAATCAAAGATTTTAATTTAAAGATTAATTTTAGGGTTTATGTTCTATACAGAAACATGAATTTTGGATGTAAACTTACGTATAATTTGTCCCAATCACCGCTCCGCGTTTATGTGGTCTTCCTCGAACATTGCTAAAATTGAATTAATTATTATTTAAAAATTTGAAAACCTGGATTATTATACAATCAATTTTTTTAAAAACTTACGTGGGGGGCTTTGTTGTAACAAAACCTCCTCTTCCTCCCCATATATGGGTCTGCGGTATTCTACTGTATAGAACATTTTTCTTGTATCTTTTTCTCTCTTGTCGATTTGGACTTGGACTATTTGCCGGTGACTCCTGAGTGACTTTTATATGGTCCATCGCTATCACTTTCTAACAAATATGTTTCGTTAGAAGAGATTGCAAATGTGCAAAATCAGCACAGTATAACGTGCTCCTTAATAGTAACATTATATGTCTTACATGCAATCTGACGACGTCTTGCAGTCAACTGCATCCACATATTGATGTATCAACACAAAAAATGTTGCATTGTGATATTTAATATTGCACTGAGAATTTCTCAATTTATCGTTTTCTACTGTTTCTTTATCGTTTCATTTCCGTTCTTTACCGTTCTTTACCGTTTTTAACCATTCTTTACTGTTTTATTTCCGTTATTTACCGTTTTTACCGGTATTTACCGTTTTTTTTACCGTTTCATTACCGTTTTTTACCGTTTCTTTACCGTTCTTTACTGTTTCAATGCCGTTTTTTACCGTTTCATTAACGTTTTTTACCGTTTTATTTCAGTTTCTTTACCGTTTTATTACCGTTTCATTGCTGTTCTTTACCGTTTCATTCCCGTTCTTTATTGTTTCTTTAACGTTTCATTACCGTTCTTTACCGTTTTTACCATTTCATTATCGTTCTTTACCGTCTTTTTACCGTTGTTCACCGTTTTTTACCGTTTCATTACCGTTTTTACCGTTTTTTACATAACATATTATCCTTGATACATAACACACAAACGCTTGCAAAATCTTGTCGCGGGGACACAGTGTACGTGCTCATTAGTAATAAGAATATAATGTGTCGCATTCTTTTTCTTGCGCATCTAATTGTCGAATGCATACGTTTGCAGAATATTAAAGTTTGCAACTATGACTAAAAAAAATCACGCTGCGAAATGCGCGGGAGGCGCGGGCGGCGCAAAATCCACCGCGGAAACCGCCGCGAAAAAACCGCCGCAGATCGGTAAAATGATCTATCGAAAGCAGATAGAAAAAATTATATAATATAGGGAATTACCGATCATCGATATTATGTAAATATGACAGTAAAAATTATGTAAATATATATGTTGGTAAAAATTAAGTAATTAAATGTTGGTATATAATATTGGTAATAAATTACCGATTGTCGGTATTATCGGTATTGTGTAATTATATGTTGGTAAAAATTATGTAATTAAATGTTATATAATATCGTTAAAATTACCGACCGTCGGTAACATCGGTATGCCCCTCCAATTACTGACCGCTGATAACCCCTCCGTGGTGACGTCATAACCCCTTCGCCGCTACGGTGACGCAATCCCCCCGCCGCCGCGGTGACGTCATACCCCCCCTGACGTCATACTCCCCGCCCACTGTGACGTCAAACCCCCGTCCGCGATGACGTCACCCCCCGCCCGCGATATCCCCACCCCGCCCTCACCCCCCTTCAGAGTACCTAGGTTAGAACTGGTTTAGCATACCTACTCACGTATATTTAGTCATCGCGGCAAAACTTGTACCTATACCGCTTGCATTTATTGCTTACTATTCGACAACCACAAAAATGTCAATATTACTCAAAACGTACTAACCCAGATAGCCAAACCTGCGCGAACAGATTTCGAGCAGAGCTCGCGATCAACTTTTGATGGCAAATAGAAAACAAAGTTGATGCAGGATTTGTTATATAAAATTTTGCTGCCAAATTGCCGTCAGATATGTGGCAGAGCTTGTTGTTGGAAAATTGCTGCAAAAACCGCGCAGAGCTTATAGCATTTTGACAGCAGATTGGTGGCAGAAACCGCGCAGACCTTGCTGCGCTGCAAGCTTTGCGCGGTGTTTGCTGCAAATTTGGCATCAATTATCTGACAGCAAGATCTGTCGCCAAAACCGTAGCCTAGTGTAGACACAGATGGCTATGGTTTTGCTGTGGGTTTTTGATTAAATTTGCTGCCAATCTGCTTGCAGTCTGCGCTCAATTTGCTTATTGGGAACTTCTACACATTTTATTCTGTTGAAATTAGCGGTTTAAGTCATATATTTATAATGGAAAAAACGTGATTAATACCAAGTGATTATGATATAAGATATATACTTTATATGTCATATTTTAAAATATTTAAAGTTATATACATATATCTTGTGATTTATATTGTACACAATTATAAAAATATTGAATAAAATTTGCAAACAAATAATATATATCTCTGCGTAATTTTGTAGTGTCGCGAAAATAGTTAACTCTTCTAAATTGTTTATACATACATACTACTACGTAATATTTAAAAATGTTTTTTTAATATATGGATTAGTTAGTCAATATTTTCAAATAAACGTCCAAATTTATGTACACTGACAAAAAAATTTTCTTAATAGTAATAAATACATTTGCTTAAATTTGATTAGCTTTATTTAAGTAAATAATACTTCGAATGTAAAACCTTCTTATTTAATTAAAGAAAATGGAAGTATTAAAATTAGCAAGCGACATTTTGTTGAACTGTTTACTTGAATTACACAGTTTACTTGAACATAGATTTTTTTAAAATGCAATGCAGATTTGTTGAAATGTAGGAAATGTATTCTTAAAATACTGAATACGAATTTCTTAAATCTAAAAATGATGTATTAGTAAATATTTGTTTTGATTTAACTTTTCAGAGTTTTACAAATAATAAATGGAATGTTAAAAAATATATAATTTTTTAAGTGTCATTTATTATATTTAAGGATACCTTTATTTAAATTAATAAGGTCCTAATAAAGGTATATTAGGAGCTTGAATAAGTTTTCGCTGATTTTTCGTGAAAATTAATGCTTTATTTTAAAAAAGTCGTAAAAAACATGTCACTGGAAGTATTGTCCATCGCTAACCACTACTTTTACCCATTTTTCTGGCTGCATTTGAATTCCACGTCCGTAAAACAACACGTCTTTGGAGGCTATCCAAGAGTCGACCCATTTTTGGCATCTTCATAAAAATGGAAGTGCTGCTCAGCCAGACCGATCGGAATGGCTATGTGCCATCGATCGGAATAAGTGATAATCGGAAGAGGCAATGTCTGGTGAATACGGCGGGTGGAGTAGGACTTCCCATTTAAGAGTTTTCAAATAAGTTTTCACCAGTTGTGCAACATGTGGCCGAGTGTCATGTTGCAAAATCACTTTTTCGTATCTCTGCTCGTATAGCGCCCGTTCTTCCTTCAATGCTCAGCTCAAACGCATCAATTGTAGTCGATAGCGATCTTCCGTGATGGGACCTCGTTCGGTTTGAGCAGCTCATAACAAACTACATCCAACTGATCCCACCAAATGCAGAGCAGAAGCACGGAATCATGGATATTCGGCTTTGCCGATGATGTTGATGCATGGCCGGGCTTACCCCACGATCTTCTATGTTTAGAGTTATCGTAGTGTATCCACTTTTCACCGCCAGTCACGATATGATGCAAAAAACCTTTCCTTTTCTGCCGTTGAAACAGCTGTTCACACGTAAAAAGACGCCGTTCGACGTCTCTCGGCTTCAACTCGTACGGCACCCTATGTCCTTGCTTTTGAATAATTTATAATACTTTCAAACGTTTCGAAACTGTTGTGTGATCAACTCCTTGATTCTGCAAGTTCAACTAGCGTCTGACATAAATCTTCACGAAGTAATGCCTTCAATTCTTCGTCTTCAAACTTTTTCGGTGCGCCAGAGCGTTCATTATCTTCAACATCAAAATCATTATTTTTGAAGCGTCTAAACCAATCTCTGCATGTTGTTACCGAACATAGACGCCGTAAGTCTCAACAAGAATTCTGTGTGCTTCAGCTGCAGATTTTTTTTTTAATAAAGTAGTGCAGTAAAATTCCCCGCAAATACTCTTTTTTTTGGCACGAAACTCGACATGTTTAACACTATGAAAAAAAAAGTTGTTTACACTCAGTTCCAAAAAAATATTTATTCAAAGAAAAAATGCAACATAAATAAATTCTACTAAAAATATTATTTAATATCAAATAAATATTTTTAATATAAAAAAAATATTTTTTAGCTAATCTTTTTTAATTAAAGTTCCTTTTTATATTATATTTTTCTTTTTCTAAAAATTTTACTTAAATTTAACACACTATTATTTCACATGCTATTTAATTTAATTTAAATCGTACTTCGAAAATTTGCTTACTATTGCTAAGATTCGAACCTGAAACCTCTGGCTCTTGAGTCGTTTACTTTATCTATTGCCCCACTGTCACTTTCACTAACAGATACTTCTTATTGTATACCCTGTGACGTGGCGGCCGGATGGCGCCCGTCACAAGGGCAATGAGTCCGTTCGTGAAATTTCGTGCATACCGGGGGGAGGGTTTTTGCCTAACGGCCCCGGATTCTTTTTGCGATTAGAATCGACAGCTTTCCGCGGTCATATCGGTCGAGCGTAAGGAGGTTAATTGGCGAAGCGAATGCGGTCCCGCAAGTGGGATGATCAGCGCGTCCTGAGAAAATGTGCTCCAACTCACCTCGCCGACCACGATGGGAAGAGACCACAGGACACCGAGGGAACAGGAAGAAGGAAGAAACGTCACTCAGGGAAATCGCCCTCAGGGAAAGTCGCCGTTTAAATGGTACGTGGATAACGGCACTTTAACTCTCTTTATAAGAACGTGTTACCGTTCCGATTTTGGCTGCCGCTAGCGATGTTTGTTTACAGCACGCCGCTAGACGCGGGAAGGAGAGGTGCGAAGCAAACACGCAACAGCTGACGACGATCGACAACAAAGCAGGTGCCGCAGAAACAACGAGATCCCGGCAAGACAGGATAGATAGATAGAGAGAGAGAGAGAGAGAGAGAGAGAGAGAGAGAGAGGGGGGGGGG